CTACAACAACGTCTCGAGTGCTAGTGCAGGACTAGTACAGAATACATGGGCTGCAAGGATCCCAACCATTTCTTGTCAGACTGGTGACAGTGTGTCTTTCACACGTTAAGAGTATTTGCATTGTACCCAGAATCCGTTTGTGCATGGCCGTACGCATGCGTGGCGTACCTAGATGTTTGCGTTCGCGATTAAATTGATCAAAAGGCAAAAGGCCATATACAGTACATGTTTTGACGTCGTGCATCAGACGGACAGCACAATTAACCTGGCGAATCTGGAAGTGGAACTTCGCAGAATTTCTCGTGTTTGTGTGCAATCGCAAAATGGCGGAATCGCTGCGAAGACTGGTCAAGACTGGAGGGTTTAACACTTTGCAAGATAAACTCGATCTGTGGTCCAGTAATTATTTGGTGCGTATTTCCAAACACTGGTTCTAAATGACTAAGACGGTGGACTAGACTGAATGAAAAGGGTTGCCATGACGATGGGGACGCTTCGCAACTTTCATCGACACCGTCGATAACTTTGACAAATTTTACTAGTCATCAATTCTGAATGCCTCTTTATTGGAGCTTTGCTAGCCCTAATGGACATTAATGGGCGTGCTAAACTGAGGAAGAATTCTTTAATGTCTGTGGGCAAAAAATATTAATGGGAGACCATAAATTTTTGAGTGTGAGTAGCCTAGTACTAGTAGTAGTAGTACCCCTAGGCCTATTTCTCGCAGTGGGAGGTTGTTCCATTAATTGAACTCACGTCTGGGTAAAGGGGCAACTCTCCATTCACTTTGTGCAGGGATTTGCATATTTTGCTCCTTTTTTACTGCAACATGATAAATATAGCAAACTTTTTCGGTACGGTGTTGGAGATATTCATGGCTCATAAATAGTGAAATTTCAAGCACATTTAGTTTAGTCAATATAGCCTAAGTCAGATTTTCAGAGTGTGAAATATGGAATAGCCACCAATTGAAAAGTCAGAAAGAAGATCAAGACTCAGTGATGTCATCCCGACCGCAAGGATGGATGCAACTGTCAAGTCAGGGACCAAACCACAGTCTAGCGACCACATTAGACCATGCATACCCCGCTCAATTGTGCAACGATGACATAATTTTGTGTGATCTCTTTAATACAAATACATGTAGGCCCTAGCTGTGATTGCTCAAATTTACAGGAAACATGCTAGGCCTACTGCAGATCTACATGTAAATGAAACATGCCTTTTATTTGAAATTTCTAAAAGCGGATCAAGGAGATTTTTCAGTTGAATCGGTGGGTAGGCCAGTTCCGCCGATGAAAAAGTTAACATGAAAAAAATAGAGTTTTGCCGAAGCTTACTTTATGCATGAAAATGTTGCCTTTAAAAATCTCAATCTCCATCTATCTACTGTGGCAAATTTTTTGATTACCTTGGCAATTTTCCAAAATAGCCATCAGAAATAGTTTTGATTCCCGACCTGACTGTAGGCCTATGCTGTATGCATTCAACACAGCATTCGCACCATGTGGTCACTGCTAGATGGAAACACTGTCGGCCATCTTGACTTGCAAAAGTGGGTCATAGTTTTAGTTAACTTTTTCTTTTCCTGGCATTTGCTGATGGCTTACTTTCTATAGTCCTTGTTTTTTACAACTCAATAGCAGAATACGACACCCCCCCCCATGATCAACCTCACAGCCAAGTATAGGTCAAAGTGTCACACATGTAACCAGTCATTCCAGGGGTCGTTTTTAGAGTGGCAGGGTATTCTGCAATTGCTCCATTTTTACTTACACATGTATGTTGATACATACACATGTACATTTATATCCATGTACATGTAGGCCCCTATGTCCTGTCTTTGTATTGTTTGTTTCTGTTGAATGCTGAATGGCCTAAATAATGATAATAATAATAATAATAAAAGGTCACAAAACTCCCTGATGTCACAGAGAGTTGCATCTTCCAATGAATATAATTCCCACATGATTGAACTATTTATAAGGGGCTATGCTATGTAGCATCAACAAGTGTCAACAAGCATCAACAAGTTATCCAAGCATACTCATGCAATTATTTTCTATTTACAATATTAATTTGGCTCCTACCTATCATATTTGGTGGACATGTATCTCATTACATGTAGTTAAAATGGTATTTGAGTGTGGAATTTTGAGTGACAAAATTGGGCCTGCTTGTGCAGAGCAACCGGCCGCCATCATGTTTTCGCGTGGATGGCAGTGAAAAGGAAAATGGTGGCCCCCATGCATTGTGAAGATTTTTTGGTTTCCTGCAAGAATCTAGAGGAAAATGTGCTATTTCTTTAACATACCGGTAGTGGTGGATGTTCAGATGTTAGTGTCGCTAAAATATGATAAAGCTACTTTGAAATCTTCAGACGGTATTTTCAAGTTTAGGAACTCGTTAGGTTTGTTAAAAGATTTACCCACCTTGTCGCTATTTAAACAGAAATATAAGAAGTGCTTACTGAATAATTACAAGGGAAATGACTGAGCCGTTACAGGTTACAGATTACAGGTTTTATTATTTTATTTGCCTATGAATTCATGTACACGGACTTACATGTATACACGTTTTCTTTGTTAATTGTTATATGTGAATGATATGTAACATTTTTGTCTTACATGTCCAGTTATGTCTGTATAGGGGCCCCTACTCGACAAGCTGTGCTTCTTAGTGGTTCCTCCACCTGTGTGTGGAAATAAAGTAAAGTTGTTGATGCTTTGTTGATGCTTGTGGTACTTCTGTTGGTTGACGCTTGTTGATGCTAAATAGCATGACTGAGTATAAGGGACCTATTTAATGTTACTGTACGTGTAGGCCTAATATTACTTCATTAGGCCTACAATTTTTTTTTACTTTGGCAATGCATCATGGGTTGCATGACAAACAAGAAATGCATTTTAACGTTAATGCTCATCCCTGTGGAAGAGGCATACATGGACCTGCTTAACAAGGTTAACATTGATTGGTTTCCATTTACACATTTATAAAGCCATCCTCTTTTCTCGCCGTGTTGGGGTCATGCTACATGTACATGTACATGTCTTCAGCAAGTATCAACAAATCATGAACAAGTTATTCAAGCATATTTATGCAGTAATTTTGTATTAAAATAATCATTAGGCTCCTGTATATTCTATAGGCCTATCAAATACAATGTACATGTATCTAAGATGATATTGTAGTGTGGACATTTGAGCTACAAAGTCGGGCCTGGTCTGGTCTGCTCCTGCAGCCAGACTGGCTGCTGTCTTGTTTTTGCAAAAACTGCTCATTTTTTTAAAGAGGATCTGGAAGCAAATATGCCATTTCTCTTACATGGGCTTTGACACAAGACATGTCCGTGGAAGCCGCTTGGCATACGGTATAGACAATTGCGAGACAAAACCCTAGACCTGTAGACTCTGCTGTCACCCAATCATGTTGGAATGTTAAAGGTCAATGTGTGGAGTCCTAGTATTCAGATAAGAGTGCTTCACAGTCCACTGGGGTGGCGGAAATTCTGGACAAATACATACATGTATATCATAGAATGACCCATGGAATCAGGGATTGAAAGCACAATTAATAACAAACCGGGTACTAATAAACTGTAGGCAAGATTTAAACCATGAAAACGACCACAAGGCCTACATGTACTAAAGCAACCTGATTGACTCCGCTCTCATCAGACCATTAAAATAAATAAAAGATGAAGGTCTGAACCTCATCTGTATTCCATTTGACAGAGTATCATAAAAAAGTGGCATGTATGTGTGAATTAAAACATGACTTTCTTCCTTCCTGTACGCAGGTGAACACATGCGATCAAAATGTTAGTCGCTGTTGTGAATTGATTGAGCTGACATCGCGTCTTCAAGGCCAACTCTTTTTGATTCTTAATCTCTCTGCAGCTGAAGGTAAGTTATCGTAACTTCACACTTATTGACTCGTCCACTTTTGTGAAAAATTCACAAAAATATGTAATGTAATCTCACACCTTTTTTTTTTCCAAGTTTTTGCAGACCCTCATATAGAGTTTAAATTGAGGTTTACTCCTTTCCAGTGGCCATTACATGTAGTTGCTTTGGCCTAATAGGAATAGTCCCAAGAAAAATTGCCCATTTGGTTGCATATTAGTTCCATTGTAGTGAGACAGACAGCATGTGTAATCATGTTTGGCAAAAACTGAAACGTACAAGATTTTGTAGTAAAAATTGTAATTATATGAAACACCTTAAACCAGAGCCATTCTAAAGGGAGTTTAAAAAAGCAGGCAAAATAATTTTCTCTTTCATTAAAAAAAAGCTAGTGCTGTCACATTTTCAACTCTCTTTATTGTCTCGATCCTCTTCCCAACAAGATGTACATGTAGACTAATCAAAATGCTGGTCAGTTATAAATGTATTGGACTGTTTTCCTATGAATGGGCTGATTCTGTAGGCGGTATCTATGGAGGGTGTGATGCGTTGAAGAATAGGCTCCTACCCTGGTTAACTCAAGGTTTCACATCAAGCAATGCAACCACTGATCTGAGTTTAGACATGATGGCTGACGTTGCTGCCAAAGATCGAGCACTGTCCAAGATGAGAAATGATTATGAAGCTCAGCTGCAGGACTTGGAGGAGGACTTGAATACATCAAGGAATGTGTCGGATTCACTGAAGCAGGAGTAAGTTCCTTGGTCGTTGTTTATGCCACAAATGTGGGTTATGGACAATGTATTGTATGTATTGTATTTCCTGTAAAAACTCTTATTTTGCCTGCAACATGGGCAGCCAAAGTTTGCCAAAAAAATCAACCTTTGTTCACAACTTGCTGAAAATGCACATTTGTTCATTAATAGTACTTGTATTACTGGTGTTCTTCTGGCTGTGATTTTTAGCTCTGTGAATAATTTTTACACATTTGTTTGGATTGCCAGCAATAGTTTTAGCAGCCACTTGTAAGAAAAACATGATTGTGATGTAAAAGGAGCAGACCTTGTTTTGAAAACTCATAGCAAGCTTCTAAAACTAAGATTTTGCTGTGAATCTATGGGCAATATCAAGGTGCATATGGTTTAATTTAAGAATAATCACAATCAGTAAATTGTGCCTTTCAGAAACTGTGAACTCCATTTTACAGGTAGTCGTAAGGTACGTTTATTTTTTCAGGACACTGATCTGTATTTTCAACACATAGCAAATACAATGTAACTGCATACACGTACATACATGTACTGTACATGTACTCTGTACATGTACTGTACATGTACGGTACATGTACACTGTACATGTACTAAGGTTTGGACATTTACACATATAAATAACAAAAGTTCGGAATCCATTTACAAATTTTCCCAAACGTTTAAACAGAACCGTCCCTTTTAGAGGTTTGACGTTTTGATTAACACAATCTCATTCATTTTTATTGTAAACAATGCCTTTAAAACATAAATTCAGAGCACTTTACTGCTCGGTCATATCAAAGGAATACCATGAATTCATCACTGGAACTTTGTGTCAATTACATGCATTTACATTTTATACTATTTGTTGTGTTTGAAATTTTCAATGACACCGTGATAAGGGTTGGACATTTAAACAGTACATGCAAAAGTTTTCTAAACAGTTTTCAAATTAAACATAAATTCTCACCCATACTTCACCTACACTTCAACACTAAATGTAGGTTAAATTATATTTCTTCACTCAGATGTGTGAATTGTGATATCTGTTTTCTTGCCAAATTTTTGTTAGCCCTTTACTTGTACGGTACTTGTGTGAGTCCCATTACTCAACTTCTTTTTTTCCTCAGAAGGCATGCAAACCCGTGCAAACTGTTACGGTGATTTGGCATTTTAATCTGACCCTGAATCACTGGATTTATTCACAGTCGGCATGATGGCGAGGCTTGTTACAATTTCCTTCTAATTTCCAGTTCTGTCTGCATTTCATCATAATTAGACCTTAGTGAGAATTAAAAGGAAGTTATGCTTACATGAACAGTACGTGCCTTTTGATTAAACGACACAGTGCTTAGCCTTGAACACCTGGCAGTTCTGAAGACCAGCAGGTGTATTACGTACAGTACATATAGTGGTATTCTTTGCAAAAGGTCTGTTATAATGATACAGTTAAACCAAAGAAATGAAACAGACAGAATGAATGAATACTAAGTATTCTCTGGTTCTTTTCAGAACCACTCATACTCACAAAAGAAATATTTTGCATATATACTGCAGAGCTTCATTTGAAAAACTTCAAATCTCTTCAGAAATGAATACTTGTTTCAGCAGTGTTATGCTGTAAACTTAAGATTCAACAGATAGTGGCAGGAAGGGTGATACTCGATAATGAAAATGAATAAAGTCTGTTTTTTCTAAGTAAACCGTTTTGGCACAGATCGATCTGTGAGGTACATGTACTCCCCACACTGACTGCAAGCTGTTATTATACATTCACTTCTTGTTGTTGTTTGTCCATTTTGAAAGAGACATACATGTATTTTTCTTTCTCATATTTTCCCCATGGGATTCAGGAAACTCACATTTCCAAAACATTCTCCTAGTGAATAACATTTATGTATTCATGTGCATGTACATGTATGTTTTCGAAAGCTAGATATCCTGGAGGACACTGAACTGAATAACTTTTTTTTCCAACTGTATGTTGAATAGCACTTTTATTTATTTCCTCTCAATATTCTTTTGTGTTTGTATTTACAGATTGCAGGAAGCAAAGTCCAAGTTGGATGAGGAGCGTTCAGCATCTGTGGGGGAGGCAATACTGAATGAAGAAGATACCATCCGACTTAGCACAACGTATGCAAACACCTTACAGATTTTGATTCAGTCAAAAAACTTAAACTTATTAGTGGGTCATTCTATGAATTCATCAGGGTCCATAAAGTGTGACTTTTTGTGTCCCTGTTCACCTGACCTAGCTGTGTCATTTAACATGGAAATATCACTGAAATTGGTTTTAAACTATTTAACATTTATTTGGCAGGTAATGTGCATTAATTCATTACTATTGGCAATTAAAAAGTACATCCTAAACTTACAAAATCATATGTCAGAATTGACAGGGACACAAAAAAAATTGGGACCCCTAATTTATAGAATGACCCTAGGCAATTTGCAAGTGACCTTTGCCCCCACTGCACTGATGACTAATTCAGATGTGAAATATGTGCAGTTTTAAGTTCATTGAAATTAAGTCATGGATGATGTAATAAATGAAAACGAGCTCTCTCAATGATAAAAACTCTCAGTTTACAAATCATATACAGTCATGTACACATACATGTACAAGGTCATTTCAGCCTGAGATTCCTACATCAGTGTTGCATGTATGTGTCAGAACAAAAACCTTAGGAGTTAAACTATTGAAATTTCATTCAAATTTAGTGTGCCGCTTTACAGTTCCATGGACGCACATGTACATGTAGTGTGCTGTGCAAAGAGCTTTGTCATGTTTGTACATGTATCTTGTTTAATTGTAGAGTTTGCTCAGGTGACTTGTGTGTATTGAACTTTCTGTCCTCAATCAGTGGGTAGTTCATTGGTGTGTAGGGTTTTGTGTATCCAAGAGATGTGGAAGATGCAATTTCTTCGATATTACATGTATGCCCATTGCAACTTCCTGAGTAATATCAAAGTCAAGCAGATGGCATCACTTGAGTGTTTTTACCACTTCGGTCCGGGGCACTTTTCAACGTTGAGGATGCTGGGCCGGCATGACCATCA